TTTTTTTTTTTTTTTTGTGGGGGAGGTATTGTGTGTTTAGCTGTGAAGGTTAACATCTCACTGTACTAAATCCACCCCTCCACCGTTACTACCTAAAAAACACTCTAAAAAGTGAAGCGTGTAACTAGAAGAGGCACAATACTTCCCACTTCTTTAAGGCTGCCAACTTAATTATGCCTATTCTCTTTCTTTTAAGTGTTAGACCTAAAGCAGAATGGTTATGCTTCCACAAAGGCAAGCCCAAGCCACGCTATCTTCGCTCCTTAGAGCTGGCGTGTTTCTTCCTCCTGCATGTGTTTCTACCTTCGGGCTGTAGCTGACGTCAAAGCAGAGATCAAGCCCAGGGCAGAACACATTCAAAGGATGTTTCTCATCCTGATGTTTAGGAAAACTGGCCAAACTAAGTATTTGTTCTCATTTGTCTTTGTTCTCTGGCAAGTTGTTCTCTCCATTCAGACACGTCGCCTTATGACCAGCTACCAGTTGCTGGGAGGTCGTTCTGCTTTGCGGAGACCTGCTGCACTGCAGATGAGGGCTGTGCTGCACAGCATGTTCAAGGCCATGACCTGCTGGAAGGAGATTGCCACGTTTTGCCCCTGGGTGGGTTTGTTCCATCAACTTTTTGTTGACTACTCAAGCAATTAACCATTTGTGCCACCCAGGAATCCCTTTTGCCTTACAGTTATTTCAAAACACCAGGTTCAAAATTAGGCTTTTAGGCATGACATTAGTTTTCTGTGAATTAAGAAATGACATGAAAGCAGCTGTAAAACCTGTGAGAGGGGAAGCTGCGCCTGGAGGGACTGGGATAGTCCTCGGGCTCCTCGTGGAACGGACGTTGTCTCTTTTCTGGACTCACACGGATAGCTTCTTGAAGCCGACTTGGCTGGAAAGCCACAACCCGCCGACATGTGACTTTCCTCTCTTACTACATGCTGTTTCCTGTATTTAGGATGCTCTTGGTCATTCTTAGCAGCATTTCCAAGTGATGGGACAGGGTCCTAGATAGTCTTAGAGGCAGCAGTTAGATGTAGAAAAAGGGATAAAGGAGAATTGTATAGTGGCATTACCTTAAGCATCCTGTGACGTTGTAGAAGATATCAAAATCGAGCAAGCCATTTGCTTTGGGGTAATCTCCTTCTGGCCACCCCGAGAAAGGGATGATGATACTTTCAGTCAAGGTAAGTAAGGCTTCAGTGATTATGAGATTCTTGAGTTTGTCACTGGAAGACAAATTCCACAGCAAACCTAGAAAAGTAAAGAGCAACTGTCAACCAGGGCATGGTGGAGCACCGAAACGCTTGTTGAAAACATGAGCTCAGTCCACCACCTCCAGGGCTATGACTAATTTAAAAAGATGTGGGGAGACTGCTGCTTTTCCAACTGAACTAAAATTGTTTAGTGTTTAGTAGGTGCCAATGGGAGCAGATCCACAGGCTAAATAAAGAGGGTATATATAACTTTTAATATAAAACGGTATAGGTTTAAATTAATCAGGAATGTGAATGGAAACCAGCTATACTTAAACATTTACTGCCATTTTTCCTAAAAGACCCAACCATAAATCTGATCTTGCTGGTAAAATGAATTCCAGGCTCACCAATAGGCTTGATCCTATTGTAATGATCCTTTATAATTAACATCTCAGCATTTAAAAAGAATTGTGTATATCTTTCTCTGCCTGGATATGTGGAGACGATGTCTCCCCTGCCTCCTGCGCCTCACTCTCTGTAACTTCTCCCTGATAAGTTGTCCCTCAACAGTAGCAGGAAGTGCATGCAGAATGCTTTGCCTATGTCTGTCAACAGTGCGCTGATCAGTACCACCAATTAATATTTATTGACTCCTACCCAATGATAGAGTTTATACCCTCCAGGAATCTATGCTGGCTCATTTATTTCTTCTTTTATATTTTGGCATTCAAGGAGAGGCAACAGTGTCTTACCTTCCAATTTGTACAGTCTAAGCATTCTTAAAATTATTCCCACATTTTCTCACTTAATTTTCCCCTTCCTCTCAAATTCCTCACATTAAAAAGAAAGGCCATCCAAGGGGGCTTCAGAAAGTTCATGAGAGAATTCCATTATCTTATAATTCCATTTCTCCACATACTTTTTGAAGCTCCATTGTACATGCCAACTAAGATAAGAGTATGCTGCATTTCTAAGGCATTTGTGAGATAGAAACTAAGGCTGGGTGCTGCATGAAAACACAAAATAGCAAATATATCTATTATTGTTATTTTGGCAGATTTGGGATTTGTGCTCAAATAGTTTTGGTTTAATCAGAGTGGTTATACCTATTGCTTTCTAATTCAGTGACCCTGCAAGTATAAAGATGTCTTGTCATCCTACATGACTTAGGAATTTACTCTAATACATTTCTAGTCAGGAACACCGACAGGAAGGATGAAAAGAAAACAGGTAACTCTTCCTTCTCTGCCTCCACTCCCCCCAGACAATAATTTCTCCTCCCTAAGTGGATTTCCCATCCGTACAAAGGAGAGCAGCACCGTCATGATACAGTGCTTTCTGTTTATGAAAAACACAGACAGACGGTGGGGAGACAGCCTCACAGACACATGGCACTCTTGGCTGACTTAAGTGGTAGAATCATCTCCCCTAATTTTAAGGACTAAAATACTAGACTGTTTAGTGAACGAACACGTAGGAATTATTCAACCCTACTTGGATTTGGCCCCGTTAAGCCACTCTAGGCTCAATGCAGTCTTCTGGGCTTCCACAGCTTGCTTTGGCTGTGGCCAGCAACATATTTAGAATAATATCCAAATCTCCACTGTAGCCTACCCACAGCTTCCATTAGCTACAAAGACACCAGGTCTTGGGAAGGCTAGAACGCTGGCTTATGGGGAGGTCTTTGCTGATCAAACTGGCTACAGTCATGAGCAGTGGCCCTCAGCCACAGGGTGGCAACACAATGCCTTCCTTCCACCCATTTTTCCCCCTAAGCGACCCTTGGAAAGAGAGACACAGAATACAACCCTGGAGGTGGCTGAGAGCTGAGGTTGAGTTTTGTTATTAAGCTCCAAAAGAGAGTAAAAAAGAAAAGGGGAAAAAAACCTCCCTGACTTCTAAATAAGCAAATAAATGAACACTCACTGCTTGCCAGAGGCTTCAAATGTGAAACATAATACCATTTCCTCTTAAAAAGGACCACACAGGGTATTCAAAGGAAAAATAAACCTTACAAACACAAGCCAGGGAGGATTAACTTGAACAAAGGGAGTGGAAGTTTCCTTCAGCAAGCACTGTCCTTTATAACTTGGCATGCTACATTATTTCTGCATAAGTGTATGGTTTGGGGAGGGTTACCTCCACTTTTGAGTATCTAACGTAGAATATTGTTTAGAACTATTGGCCTTGTCAAGTTTCTGTGTGGTGTGAAGCTGGGAGAGAGCTAAAGCGTTCAATCGAAAATCAGGATTATATAAACTAATGCACAAATACACATGCCTCCTCATACCCACATACACAATCAATCATTGACCAATTAGCTGAACACTTTAAGCAAGGATTCTATAGAAGAGTCTTCATCAAAAGGGGAAAATGCAGAGCACACTTGCCAATTCTCATGGAATCAAAACTTTCTGAAATGACAGCAGCTAGATGAACTCCTGAAACTACTGCCCTGAGATAGTCTTTAAACACGAAATCAGGAATATCTCCTGAAGTTTTCTTCAAACCAAATAGTTGAGCTGAATTATAAAGAATTGTCCTCTCTCGGGATCTATTTATATGGGACCAAAGTGACAACAGTAACAACTAGAAATATCATGAAATTCGGGGGGGCAGTGGGTTTATGTTAATGGCAAAGAATGCCTCAGAAAAAGGGGGTGAGGAAGGTTACACAACTCAAAGCATTAATCAATGTTCTTAAACTGTACCCCAGCAAATTGTTGACTCTGTATATATTCTGGTGTGTATACATTTTAAAAATAGCAAATAAATAATACAAAGTGATACCTAATTACAATCTTGGAACGTATGTATGAGGAAGCTTCAGGGGAAAAATCATGGAAAAATTCTATCATCTTATAATACCATTTTCCCATAAACTTTTTCAAGCCATCTCATATAGCAATATAAGAGACCAAGAGCCAAAGTCTTTAAAAAAGAGAATTCTCACATACTATTAATATATGAGATGCCAGTAGAAGAACTGAGAAAATGTTAAATAGTCTAAAATAGATTGGGGGAAATTATACAAAGGAATACATGTTTCCTAGCAGCTAAAGAAATGCAAACAACTAGCATCATGTTCTGTAACATCAGACTTACAATCCAGACACCCAAACAGAGTGATATGAGTCAGAATCAACTCAGTGGCAATAGGTTTGGTTTGGTTGGTTGGTTTATGCACTCATTGAAATAAAAAAGAAAGGGAAATTGATTCTGTTGTGGGATCTACTCTGACCACTTTGCAGGTATGTAATACATACTGCTACCAGCACTGTCCAGAAATTCATAACCAATCTGATGTTTACAAAGAATCAGTAAGGAGGATTACTAGGTAAGGAGAACTTACAAATATTAAAAATTACATTTTATGAAGCCACTAAACTCAAGGTCAGTAGTTTGAAACCACCAGGTGCTCCATGGGACAAAGAGGAGGCTTTCGACACCCATAAAGAGTCAGTGTCTTTGAAACCCACTGGGGAGAAAGACAGGACTTTCTATTCCCATAAACAGTTAGTCTTGGAAACTGACAGGGCAGTTCTACCACATCCCAAAGTGTCACTATGAGACAGCATCGACTCAATGGCACTGAATTAGTTTTAGTTATGTTTTATTAGCATTGTCTTATGTGGCCATCGTTAGGTGCCGTTGAGTGGGTTCAAACCCATAGTGACCCTGACTACAATAGAATGAAACACTGCGTGTGCTAGCCCATCCCCACAATTGTTCTGACAGAGCCCATTGTTGCGACCACTGTGTCAATCCACCTCATTGAGGACCTTCTTCTTCTTCACTGCCCCTCCTTTACCAAACATGGTGTCTTTCTCTGGGGCTGGTTTCTCTGGACAGCCTGTCTAAATTAGGTGAGATGAAGTCTTGGTCGTCCTTGTCTCTAAGGAGCATGCTGGCTGTACTACTTCCAAGATAGATTTGTTTGTTCTTTTGGCAGTCCATGGTACTTTGAATATTCTTCACAAGCACTATAATTTACGTGCAGCAAGTCTTCTTTAATCTTCCTTTATTCAATGTTCACCTTTCATATGCAAGTGAAGTCACTGAAAATATGGCCTGGGACAGGCACACTTTAGTGCTATTTAGTCCTCAAAATAATATCAATGCTTTTTGACATTTTAAAGCGGCCTTGTGTCATACATTTATTTAATGCAATGCATAGTTGAATCTCTTGGCTGGTGGTTCCATGAGCATATATTGTCAATCCAAGCAAGACAAAATCCTTAGCAACTTCAATCTTTATTCCAGTTATCATGATATTGCCGATCAGTCCCATTGTGAGGATTTTGGTCTTCTTTCCAATGAATTGTAGTCCATACCGAAGGCTGCAATCCTTGAGCTCCAGGTAAAGCAAATGCTTTACATCCTTCTCACTCAACAGCAAGCAAGGGGGTATCAGCTACATATCACAGGCGGTTAGTCAACCTTCCTCCACTTGTGATGCCTCATTCTTCTTCATATCATCCAGTTTATTTACTTATTTTTGTACTTAAAATGGTTTTATTTTATTATTTTTTAATCATTTTATTAGGGGCTCACACAACTCTTATCACAATCCATACATACATCAATTGTGTCAAGCACATTTGTACATTCATTGCCCTCAACATTCTCAAAACATTTGCTTTCCACCTAATCCCTTGGCATCAGTTCCTCCTTTTTCCCCTTCCCTCTCCGCTCCCCCTCCCTCATGAACCCTTGATAATTATAAATTATTATTTTGTCATATCTTGCCCTGTCCAACGTCTCCCTTCACCCACTTTTCTGTTGTCCATCCCCCAGGGAAGAAGTTACATATAGATCCTTGTAATCTGTTCCCCCTTTCCAACCCAACCTCCTTCCACCCTCCCAGCATCGCTGCTCACACCACTGGTCCTGAAGGGATTATCTGCCCTGGATTACCTGTATTTCCAGTTCCCATCTGTACCAGTGCACATCCTCTGGTCCAGCCAGATTTGTAAGGTAGAATTGGGATCATGATAGTGGGGGTGGGGGGTGGGGGAGAAAGCATTTAGGAACTAGAGAAAAGTTGGATGTTTC